TCCTTCCTCTGCAATTTCTTGGAAGAGTTTGAGAAGGATGGGTGTTAGCTCTTCTCTAAATATTTGACTAAAATTCACCAGTGAAGCCTTCTGGTCCTGGACTTTTGTTCATTGGAAGAATTTAATCACAGTTTCAATTTCATTACTTGTGATTGGTCTGTTCATATTTTCTATATCCTCCTGGCTCAGTCTTGGAAGGTTATACCTTTCTAAGAATTTGTCCATTTCTTCCATGTTGTCCATTTTATTGACATAGAGTTGCCTGTAGTAGTCTCTTAGGATGCTTTGTCTTTCTGTGGTGTCCTTTGTAACTTCTCCTTTTTCATTTCTAATTTTATTGATTTGAATCCTCTCCCTCTTTTTCTTGGTGAGTCTGGCTAATGGTGTATCAATTTTATCTTCTCAAAGAACCGGCTTTTAGTTTTATTGATCTTTGCTATTGTTTTCTTTGTTTCTATTTCATTTATTTCTGCTCTGATCTTTATGATTTCTTTCCTTCTGCTAACTTTGGGCTTTGTTTTTCTTTCTCTAGTTCCTTTAGGTGTAAGGTTAGATTGTTTGAGATTTTTCTTGTTTCTTGAGGTAGGTTTGTATTGCTATAAACTTCCCTCTTAGAATTGCTTTTGCTGCATCCCATAGATTTTGGATCATTGTGTTTCCGTTGCCATTTGTCTCTAGGTAGTTTCTGATTTCCTCTTTGATTTCTTCAGTGATCTCTTGGTTATTTAGTAATGTATTGTTTAGCCTCCATGTGTTTGTGTTTTTTACAGTGTATGTATGGGCCTTGTTTTTGTATCCATTCAGCAAGCCTGTATCTTTTGGCTGGAGCATTTAACCCACTCATGTTTAAGGTAATTATCAATATGTATGTTCCTATGACCATTTTCTTAATTGTTTTGGGTTTGTTTTTGTAGGTCTTTTTCTTCTCTTATGTTAGAGAAGTTCCTTTAGCATTTGCTGTAGAGCTGGTTTGGTGGTGCTGAATTCTCTCAGCTTTTGCTGTCTGTAAAGCTTTTGATTTCTCCATCGAATCTGAATGAGATCCTTGCCAGGTAGAGTAATCATGGTTGTAGGTTCTTCCCCTTCATCACTTTTATATCATGCCACTCCCTTCTGGCTTGTAGAGTTTCTGCTGAGAAATCAGCTGTTAACCTTATGGGAGTTCCCTTGTATGTTATTTGTTGTTTTTCCCTTGCTGCTTTCAATAATTTTTCTTTGTCTTTAATTTTTGCCAATTTGATTACTATGTGTCTCAGTGTGTTTCTCCTTGAGTTTTTCCCATATGGGACTCTGCGCTTCCTGGACTTGGGTGGCTATTTCCTTTCCCATGTTAGGGAAGTTTTCAACTATAATCTCTTCAAATATTTTCTCGGGTCCTTTCTGTCTCTCTTCTCCTTCTGGGACCCCTATAATGCGAATGGTTTCGCATTTAATGTTGTCCCAGAGGTCTCTTAGGCTGTCTTCATTTCTTTTCATTCTTTTTTCTTTATTCTGTTCCACAGCAGTGAATTCCACCATTCTGTCTTCACTTATCTGGTCACTTAGGTCACAAGGTCACTTATCTGTTCTTCTGCCTCTATTATTCTGCTATTGATTCCTTCTAGTGTAGTTTTCATTTCCGTTATTGTATTGTTCATCTCTGTTTGTTTGTTCTTTAATTCTTCTAGGTCTTTGTTAAACATTTCTTGCTTTTTTTTTTTTTTTTACAGCTTTATTGGAGTATAATTGCTTCACAATGATGTATTAGTTTCTGCTCTTGCATCTTCTTGATCTTTGCCTCCATTCTTTTTCTGAGGTCCTGGATCATCTTCACTATCATTATTCTGAATTCTTTTTCTGGAAGGTTGCCTGTCTCTGCTTCATTTAGTTGTTTTTCTGGGGTTTTATCCTGTTCCTTCATCTGGTACATAGCCCTCTGCCTTTTCATCTTGTCTATCTTTCTGTGAATGTGATTTTTGTTCCACAGGCTACAGGAATGTAGTTCTTGCTTCTGCTGTCTGCCCTCTGGTGGATCTAGTAACATTTTTTTAAATGGAGGGCATGGGGCGAAAAGGGTCATAGTAAAATGTTAAAAAACTGAAAGTAATACCGTATTATCTGAGAGGTTGGCTTTTAAATTATTGAACAACAGAGACTGAATAAAAAACTTAGATTTATATATAAGCCCTATATGACACAAGCCAGAATCTAGATTTCATAATATGTTCATCATTTTCTTAGCAAATAATTACACTCTTCGGAATCAAATCCACAATTCAGTTTGGACTCTATAAAGCACAGCACAGTATTGTACTCATCACCAGTGTCAGGCTCCCTGTGGCCTGGGTCTTCTTCATGTTTCTAACTTAGCTCCTAATGCAGGAGTGTCAATTCATATTTCCTCCAATTATATTTTCCTATTTTAATATGGATTTCAATTTTTTTTTTTTTTTTTTTGCGGTACGCAGGCCTCTCACTGTTGTGGCCTCTCCCGTTGTGGAGCACAGGCTCTGGACACACAGGCTCAGCGGCCATGGCTCACGGGCCCAGCCGCTCCATGGCACGTGGGATCCTCCCAGATTGAGGCACGAACCTGTGTCCCCTGCATCGGCAGGCGAACTCTCAACCACTGCGCCACCAGGGAAGCCCTCAATTTTTTAAACACTGATTTTGGGGAACAGACAGAACATCTGGCTTATATACTTATATGCTAATAACATCATCTTATACTTTTGCTGTGTATATTTTGTTTCAAGGACTATAGACATGTCAAATATAAGTGTGTTAATAAAGGAATCTGTGAGGATGGATCTTAAATGTAGGCTCAAGCATAAGATACCTCTTTTCACACCATTGTAAATGACAAGTAGATTGAGTCCATCAACTATAATTGTAGTCCATGGAGAATTTATAAGAGGCATCATTATGAGAGAGAGAGAAAGAGGTGGGGGGCGTAGAGATTGGTAGGGAGAAGGATGAGGGGAAGGGGAGGAGAGGATAGAGGAAAGGGAGAGAGGGGAGAGGAAGGACGGATAAATAAATGAAAGAAATGGGTGACTAAATTCTGCAGCAGATAATGCAACAGCTTTCCACTTCTGAGAGCTTTGCTCAGGAACTCTGCCATAAAAATCTTCATATGTTTCAGAGTACAGTACCTTGCATATACTACATGCTTAATACATAATTTGTTGTTGGAGGAAATCAATCCTCGTGGGTTTAGTGCCCCTCTCACTCTGGATCCTGATGATTCTCTGTGGTTATCAAGGCATGTCATATAACCAGCCTTTTAAGATTTAGGTTCAATTGCTAAGTTCTTCCTGGTCTCCAGAGTTAGCCTGGGGAAGGCAAGCCCAGAGCAGTACCCGGTCCTGGAGACAGTACTTGGTGAATGGTTGAATGCCTTCAAAATGGAGGCTTTTTATTTCTCTCTAAAGCAAACTCTGAATGAAAGCGAGTCTTAACAAATACAAATGTGATCAAACAGTAACAGAGATGTTGTGTTACTATGAAAGATAGTGCCAAACCATTTCATTTGAAAAAAGTAGTGATTTGATATTTTCATTCAAATCCCAATTGTTTCATGGGAAGAGGAGGAGACAATATTGCTTAAATTTTCTTTTACAAACAATTTGTAAAAGTAGTAAAGTCCTTGTCTGAAGAAATTAATATGGTTTATTTTTTCCTTCAAAAGTATAATTTATAGAGGATGTTGTGTAGTGTGCTTGAGTTATACCAAGTGCTTTTATACTGAACTTCAACTCATTAAAATACTTAAATATATTTATCTGCCATTTGACTATTCCATTTCCTTCAAATATTAGAAGATGCTATATTATGCTCAACTAATTTAATTAATGTGGAGATCATTTTTCCTATAAAACAAGGATTGATAATGCCATTTCTTTGCTTCAGGTTTATGTAATAATAGAGAGGAAATGGAAATTTCATCATATTTAGTTTCAAATGAAAATCAAGAACAAATGGGAATTCCTTGTCTTCAGCTTGTTAAATTTTATGACCAGCTAGAGAATAAAAGTTATATTGATAGTTGACGTAAATCAAAGTTTGAATGTGTTGTTATATTTGCATTATACATTTAGCACAAGTACTGTCAAATGGTACTTGGAGTTTTTATATGGCTGCAGGCTACATAGAGTAGTTTTGAAGAGCTAGTTAGCTGCCTGCATGACCTGCTTAGGGATAAAACGTGGATTATAATTTTCCCCATAAGCGGCCTTTAGCAGCATTCTAGCTTATATTATGTTCACCACTTCTAATCCAGAAAGTCTTGACTTTGGATCATGTTTGTTTTCAGAACCATAAAAATTATATAGTTAAAATAAAAGGATGTGCAAAAAAAACCACTTAATGATCATAAACTCATCTTCTAGTCTCCTTGAAAAGTATGGTTATTTGAAGCTCAAAAGAGTTAATAACATAATCACTTGGAAGAAAGTCATTCAATGAAGATCTGCCTTTTCGTCTCACACACAGACACAGACACACACACACACACACACACACACACACAGAAAAATGGTTGGCCCCTAACATATTTCCCTAAAGTATTCTATAGAAAATAATACCAGGTTGTGTCAAAGAACAGGCCTCAGGGTTCCCTGGGAAGTTTGTTAAAAATGCAGATACATAGGTCCCAGCCCCCAAGATTTGGTTTTTGTGGAAGATAAGGGAATAAAAACTGGATTTCTGCATTTTGAAAGTCCTCTCCATAGAGTCTGATGTTCCCAAAGGTTATAAACCACTGTCCTAGAAGGCCATCACTGGTTGACAAGCCTTTAGAACAGCACGGTCTTGAACCCTAATGTGCATATAAATCACCAGGGATCTTAAAATGCAGACTGTGGTTCATCTGGGTTGGGGGCTGGAATTCTGTGGTTCTAACATGTCCCCAGGTGGTTCCAATGCTGCTTGTCTGTAAACCTCACTTTGAATAGCAATGATGGGATTTTCCTAGCCATTTTGTAGGTGAGCTAACAGGCATTGGTTTTGAAGTGCTCTACAAGAAACTGCAGTATTAATAGGAGGCAGCATTGCATTGTGAAAAGATAGTTCATCCAACAAGCATTGACTGAGAATTTGCTGCATGCTAGGTTCTTAGGCCTTTGTGTTTCTGACTCCCCTTGACTTTTCCTCGTGAGGCTAACATTTATGTGTCCTTTAGAAAATCTTCCCTCCTCCAGTAATCCTTGGCTGTGACGCTGCTGTGTGCTCCCCCTGCATATTGCGTTAACTTTAATCATAGCAGTTGTCATATTGGGTTACACTTATCTACTTTCTTATCTATCTTAGAATATAAAGCTCTTGTGGGCAATACTCATGATTGTACTTCAGACCTCAGAACTCTGTCCATGAAAGACAATCAGTGAATATGTAGGATTATTACTTAACTAATTAATTAAATAAGGTAACATAAGCAAAGCCTCAAGCTCCAACTCTATTTCCTTTGTAAATTCAACACTGACCTCCAGCTAGGTAAAAAGTGAGAGTAGCTGAGGGTTCTTGCCTGCCTCTGGAAGGCTCTCCTTGGCTGGCTCTGACCCAGAATTTTTTGGCAAGGTGATGACATTCATGTAGGCTCTCCTTAATCAGAAATAAATAGGAAAAGAATTGGTCAATCCCAGCAAGGAGCATGACTGGTTTTAAAATGCAACAACAGAACACTTACATGGACACAGAGGGCATTTGGCATGACCCTGATTTCCCTTCCTGAAGTACGGGATTTGGCAATCCACTTCCATAGCCTACCCAGCTCACATGGAGCTTCCAAGGCAGACAGAGCACATAGAAACTGCAACAGCACCTGTGGTAGTGCCTCAGCTCCAGCGCCTCACACTGCTTCTGCTCATGTGCTTATCTCCATTAAAGTACAACCAAACCCACATAAAGTTTTATGTTTTACTGGTTGCCTGTGACCTTACCTCTTATGGGGCCAGGGGACTGATGGTGAAATGGAGCGATTCGCAGGAGCAGCTGCAGAGCTGCTTATTGAGTCATGGTGTGGCCATCCCCTTTGCTGGGGAAAACTCAGTTATCTCTGATGTCCAGTATTCGATAGGACCAATTCTCTTCCACAAATACACTGGGAATTTCCCATTAATCACATGATATTTTTGTAGTAATCTTAAACCTAAAAGAGACTACAAAGAAAGAATACATAGAAAATAGTATTTAGCACATATTTATTGCACGCCTATATACACAATACATACATTGGGTTATAAAAGATACAAAGATCTTCGTATTGCAGTCACAGCTCTCAATGAATTTCAACCAGCCAGTAGTTTGAAAACTGAATGGAAGTTATTTTTGACAGGAATAAAGACGCAGACTTAGAGAATGGACTTGAGGACACAGGGAGTGGGAAGGGTAAGCTGGGATGAAGTGAGAGAGTGGCATGGACATATATACACTACCAAATGTAAAATAGATAGCTAGTGGGAAGCAGCTGCATAGCACAGGGAGATCAGCTCGGTGCTTTGTGACCACCTAGAAGGGTGGGATAGGGAGGGTGGAAGGGAGGAAGATGCAAGAGGGAAGAGATATGGGAACATATGTATATGTATAGCTGATTCACTTTGTTATAAAGCAGAAACTAACACACCACTGTAAAGCAATTATACTCCAATAAAGATGTTAAATAAAAAAAAGCACCCTTGACACTCCAGCCCAATTAAGATTTTATTCTCCCCTTTGTTCTCCTCTCTTCTGAGAATGTACTTGGAATCTGGGCTGAAACTGCTTGCTTCTCCTTTTCCTCAGATCACCAGAGTGATGTTTTATCTGAATTCATGGTTGTGGCATGCTCTCTTAACACATGCTTTTAAAAGGTATCACTTCCTGGCTTCTGTCAGCCTTTCTTCCCTAGGCTGGACCTTACTCTTGTTTGTCTCTGAATTGCCTTTGATGAAATTTCCTCTTCTCAAACTCAGATACCCAAGAGGGCAAAGATGCATATCACGCATCCCTGTCCCTTTAGATGAGTAGTTCTCAAAGTGTAGTCTGTAGACCTCTAGGGGTCTCTTAGATGCTTTCAGGGGATCTGTGATATCTAAATGATTTTCATAATGGTACTAAGACATTGTTTGTCTTTTTTCGCTCTGTTGACATTTGCACTGATGGTGTAAAAGCAAAGGTGGATGACACCTTAGCATTTGAGGCAGTGACACCTACCTGTACTAGAAGTCGTATTCATCACTGTCACCATTTGACTTAAGAAACAAGATGCTGGTTTCATGTAAGAATGTCCTTGGTAAAGCTGTAAAAGTTTGCATTTTATTAAATCTTGAGCACACATCTTTTTAATATTCTGCATGACAAAATGAGGATACATGTAAAGCACTTTGAATATTTGTGTTGAGGAAGCACGTGCATAATTTTTTGAATTGCAAACTCAACTAGTCATTTTTTTCATGGAACATCATTTTTACTTAAAGAATGACTGACAGACAAACTATGGTTATTTAGACTTGGGTATTCAGTAGACACCTTCTGGAAAATGAGCAAAGTGAGCCTGTCACTTCAAGGAAAACAACTGACAGTATTCGAGCTTTCAAGGGAAAATTAGAAAGTTGCACCTGCCACCATGAATTTGACAGCTTCCCAATACTTAAAGACTTCTCTGTTGAGATCACTGATGAGATTAAGAGGTGTGATTTTGTATACTGTATGATTAAATGTGTCAACGTTTGGAAGATCTGTATAACTCAGTGAACCAATATTTTCTATGACTAGTGCGTGATGTAACAGAATCATGATGGACTAAAGATCTATCCAAAGTGTAAAACAGGGGCTTCGCTGGTGGCACAGTGGTTGAGAGTCCGCCTGCCGATTCAGGGAACACGGGTTCGTGCCCCGTTCTGGGAAGATCCCACACGCCGGGGAGCGGCTGGGCCTGTGAGCCATGGCCGCTGAGCCTGCGCGTCCGGAGCCTGTGCTCCGCAACGGGAGAAGCCACAGCAGTGAGAGGCCCGCGTACCGCAAAGTGCAAAACAGACTAGAGAATTTTAATATAATGAAGTATGAAAAGTTCATTGCTATGGTTTCAGATTCCACATTGCAGTTTGAGAAATTGCCACTTACTGAGTTTGATGTAGTATCAAGGAATATCCAAAATTATCTGAAAAGGCTATTAAAATACTCTTCCCTTTTCTGTTTATCTGTGTGAAGCTAGATCTTCTTCATACACTTCAATCAACACAATGTAACACAACAGAATGAATGCAGAAGGATGTATGAGAATTCAGCTGTCTTCTATTAAGCTCAGACATTAAAGTGATTTACAGAAATAGAAAACTATGTCACTATTCTCATCAAATTATCTTAGTGTTAGAAAACATGATTATTTTTCATAAAACATTTGTGTTAACATACTGTTATTTTATTTTTAAATTAATAAACAAAAGATTTAAATATCTTTTTATTTCTAACATGGTGAATACCAATAGATAGAACCCACAAGAACAAAATATTTTTTAAGTACTCAGTTATTTTTGAGAGTGTAAATGGGTCCTAAGACCAAAACGTTTGAGAATTGCTGCTTTAGGTCACACAATTTTATATACTACTGATTGACTAAATGAAGTTCCAGTTAACTAAAACTTTGGAGGAGGTTATTTAAATTGGCCCTTCCCTGAAAGAGCATAGTCCTTGATTAACATTCCCGGCCCCTGCACGAGCATATCTAGAGGTAGGGAAAAACAGATACATTTTTCTGGGTACATGAGACATATTCAGTGTCTGAAATGAAACAATTTCAGTAAAAACACCAACACAAGCAAAGTATTAAAGACCTCAGATTATGAATTCTAATCCAGTTCCTTCACTTTATTAATATGACAATGCCTCAGGCCTAGTTTTACCTTTAAATAAAAAAACTTCTATTTTAGCTGTTTGGAATGGTACTCTTTCTAAAAGATGTCACATGTGTTTTTGCATCTAATTAGGCTACTAAGGTGATTTAAATATTTTAAATGAATTGCGATCATTATTATTAATGCCCATTATTTTACTCAAATACAGCAGAGCCACTAAGTCCCATTGAGCATGTGAAAGTTTTTTACACTTTCATTAAATGTATTCTGAGTCTTTTTTTTTTTTTTTTTAAGATTTACATGTGTTTTTAAATGTTGCCTTTTGCTTCCTTGCTTTGGTGGTGTGTTAACTGTGACATCTTTATACAGTGTGCATATTTGTCTCCCCATTTCTAATTTTCTGTAAACTAAACAAAATGCTTATCAGAATTGTTTAAAATTGAGCAAATAGACTGAAAAATGATCCCAGACACTTACAGTGATGTGTAGAAGTTTTAGTGAACTTTTTTATTGTATTTTGACCACTCAAAAGACTGTTGAGCTTACTTAGTTTTTTAGATAACTAAATTCCTAATAGATGAGGTACTGCAGCATAATAATCATTTAGTTAACTGTTGGGTGTGCAGTTAATAAATATGAACAGAGACTTGAGAAACCCAAACAGTGAGTTCTAGTTCTGCTCTCTTTTCTGAGTCATCCTGATTATACTGACTACTTATTTATCTAATCTTTTAGGTTTTACATGTGCTTTTTCAATGAGGTCTTTAAAAGTTTTAAAAAAATATTCTGTATAAATATTTATAAAAAGAATCTGCCTATAGTTCAAAGCCTCTGTGCAATCTTTCACAATTTAATCCAACAAAAGAGTAGACAGGGACATGTCCTACCTAAGGCTCTGGTCCATCAGTGTTTTTCTGAAAGAGCTGGGATGTTTACATTCTTAGGGAGAAAAGAAGAGCAGAGAATACCATTCCATATTTGTACTTGGTTTTCTAGCATCAATGGTGGCTGCTTTATAACAGCTCATAGCAGTTATATTGCAGCATCGTTTCTGCCTGTGGAATCACATTGGTATGCAGATTCTTAAGTATGCAGCCCCATGGATTAGGGCCCTCATTCCTGTTAAAGAGAGTTATTTAATTCAGGAATCTTTCCAAAGTTGCTACCAGGAATGCTTTTTACTTTTATGGTGACTTGGTCCCTAAGGATAAAGACAATCATCCAAAAGGAAAACTTTTTGCCCAGTATCTGAACCTATATTACTGACCAGAGCAGAAAAGTTCATAATCTTCAAAACTCAATATGAGAAACAGGTTATTGAGTTTGAATTGAGGAATTGAGTATAGAATAACTGAAAAATCCTAGTGTCTACTTGTATTTACATCCATGACCCAACTTGAATATACATTTTAAGAATTATTTTCACTGTTTTTAGACAATTTGTATAATTGAATTTCTTATTCAATTCTTCATATACTTATCAATGCTTTAATGGAGAAAAGCCTTGCTTCATTTTAGGAATTATCTACTCTCCTTTTAGAACATTTGTCTCAACAACAGTGCATATTAATAATCATTTTACTTTATTCCCTCTAAGTTCTTCACAAAGCTTTTATTTCTCTCATATTAACTTCCTAGTACGTACTCTACAGTGGTTTTTCTGAACTTCATTGTCCTCAAGTTTTAATCCCCTTCTGCCTTTCCTCCTGTATTCTTAGCAGATGGTGACCTCGTACAATTTATCTGGTGTTAGTTCCTGCATTTTCCTGCATTGTCTCTCCTGTCTGTCTTGAGATATCAGCATCTGTGTCCATCTTTTTTTCTTTTCTGTATCTGAGAAATAGTTGCTGTTTTAGCTCTTGTCCTTTTTTACCTTCTATGTTTGCCCTCGATTCTATCTTTCTGTATCAGCTCAGGGTTCATTTACAGGAAATAGAAAACTCTCTAGTTAATTTAGGGAGAAAAGGAATATAAGAAGTACTTACAGGATTGTTGAAAGATCTGGAAAGGCAGGCTTTAGGCAGGGCCTCCAGAAATGACTTCAAACAACACTGTAGAACTGGCTACCCAAGGGATTGGCAACATGTGCCACAATCAGGAAGCTAAAGGGGTCAGGAAGCTATTGGGCTGGCCCAGTGCTAGGTCTAGGATTACACACTTTAGCTGTGATCTGGGATTAAGAAACTGCCAGTAGAACTGCTGTAGCCAGAGGAAAATCATCTCCCAGATCTGCACCAGCAAGATGGATGCCTCGCAGTGTAATGCCTCTCTCCATTTAATTCAATTTCAAGTGCAAGTTTCTCGCAGGTACACCTGCTTGTTGAAATAAAATCACACCCAGAACCCTAGCTGAAGGAGAGTCTGGGAAATGTTATTTTATCTTCTCAGCTTCTGTTGCACGCAAGGCACATTCAAGGGGGCTTGGGACAAAAGTCGAGGAATCCATTCAACTCTTTGCCACAGTTTTCTCCGACTTTTTATTTACTCAGTTACTGGTTATATTTCTTGTTTATTTTCCCCATAGTCTAGATATGTCCTCAAGTCTTTTTTTTCCATTTTGCTGTTTGAATTTCTGCACTGAATTCCAAGATGCTTTTTGCTTCCTACTATTAAGATTTTTCTTGGTTTATTATTATTTTTATTCCATTGTCTTCTGGTCCTTGTTTTCTTTCGCCTTGTCATTCGGAAACTGTTACATTGCTATTTGCTATTGATTTCCAAAAATATTGTACCACTGTGAACGTGAATTCCCAACAACTTGTAAACTCAGTTTTGTTATTAGGAAACCCCCCTTCAAGGGCTGAGGTTGGAGTTCAGAATTTGGAAAGCAAGCCCATTAAAAGTAGGATTATTTACTTATTTCTAAAACTTTAACCATCATCATTGCTCTTGCTGTACCTTCCAGTGACCATTCTGACCATTTCACTGGACAGCTGATAAACACAGACTTATCTAAGTCTTTGGTTTAAGAGCCAGTTGGGGTGAGGGAATGCTTATTAAATTTTGTCTTAGAAGTATGAGGGAAGTTTTGCCAAAGGCCTGAAGTGGAAAACTGAGGAAGGGCTGGGGCTTCAGAAAGAGCTACTAGATCATAGACTATTTTCCAGCTTCCATCAAAATGTTTTTACTTGTCTGAGATCATGTATTTCATCCTGTCTTAGTTATCTCCAGGTCCCAAGACTTTATTTTATGGATTAAGAATAGCCCTGCATAAGATAGGTTAATTTATGCTATCTTCTCTTTCATGTATTTTAATACGTATAGTAGTGGAATTTAAAGAGGAGACTGTCTTGGTTCTACCACTTACTCTGACATCTTCCAAGAGGACTTGTCAGTGAACTGTATGTGAAAATGCAGCCCATGAGACAAGATTTAGTTTCGCTAACAGGAATCTGACACACTTGATATGTCATATACACAATACAAAGTAGTTTAAGTACAAGGT